TTGTGTAACAAGAACTAACAAGTAAACACTAACCATCATTACATTCTCGCCACCTTGGCTGTTGCACACGATCAATTCTGCATGCATGCACTAACATTTACGAAGGCTATTAAACCATTTAGTTACTAATAAATTTGTAAAATAAGAGAATTTGTGTCTTTCATTTTTTCACATGACTATATTGATGTATCATTTGTTGGTATCCCTGCTACCTTCTTTGTTTACGTTTTTTGTTGGGATGGCATTCCTGATTGCAACGGAAGGAGTTTGTATCAGTGGTCAGTTTTGTATTCGTGGATTAAATCCTATGTAATTTTTCATGTATTTTTGAGTGAATGTACATAGTGAAGATGTTATTCTTTGCGATTTCCATCAATAGTGACATAACTACATTATTGTATACACTCTTGAAATAAGAAGTGTAGCATAATGCATTAAATTAGCATCAGTGTGTTAACATTGTGTGCATTTGGGGCGGTCCATTCTAGCTTTTAATGCTGATTGGATTGCAGTGGCTGTGACGTTGTACACATTCTGATGCTGAGTGGATTATTGTGACTGACGTTGCACACGTTCTAGCAATGATTGGATTCATTTGACTGTGACGTTGGATGCGTTCAAGCGTTGATTGGATCCTTGTTACTGTGATGATATAAGCTCTGTTTTTTCCAATGAAACAGCTGTGGCAGGCTGGCAGCTTGCAGAGACTTGTCAGTGATGATGATGGACTGAAAGTGGAAGTATGCTGGCCTTTCCAGATTTTTAGGTCATGCTTTCCGATTTGCTATGTTTACCAGTTAATATATTACCCTTCTGGAATTCCACACTGGTGCCAACTACTCTCTATTCAGTTAACATTCAAAGATTACTAGAACCAGGTCATGGAAAAGTCATGGAATTTTTTTTCTGAATATGTAATCGAGGAGCACAGTGGCCAAAAATAGTAGTGCACTTGCTCCAATAGTAGCAGGAGGGCTGGGCGCTCCAATACAAGCAGGCCAGCGGCAGCATGCTTGTCCCACTTTTTACTTTTACTGATAACAGCAAATTTTCCCTACTGTTCAAACCATCAGAAATGGTTACCTATCTGTTCTTTAACTGGCTGCTGTTCACCCACTTTGTTTGGCATTAAATAAATTTTCTCAGTTTTTGTTCACCTTTCTCATTTACACTTGCACTGAAATTCAAAACCTTGAGTTATCCTGTCATGCTACAACCTTGTGAGCACCGATTTCTATCCTCCGTCCTGCTAAGTATATTTTAGATGCTTTCCATCTTAAATATGATGCAATTACTTTACTAGGCATTGTTATAGATTGTTTTACTAGGCAAAATTATAGAATGTTTCCCATCAAATGCAGTCCTTAAACAAACAATTCTGAACTTGAAACCATTAAAAAATATTATTAGTGTGTAACAACCAAATTTTTGGACTCCAGCAGAGCCATTTCTGTGTAAGACAACTCTGACCGCTCTATATTATTGTGTCGTTATGTATTAACGTTTGTGTGTGTGCTTGAGAACATGTGCATCTTTATTGCTGGTGCATGTGTAACTTCATTGCTGGTGCATGTGCATCTTCATTGCTGGTTTCTTCCTTACAGTTCATTTATTCCAATAGTTTTTGATCTTGTTGTCTGTGAGTTTATTGCCTGCCATTGCAAAAACTGCATGAAATGAGATGCATGATCGCAGTGGAAAGCTCCAGTATCTCCCACCTGAGTAGCTTCTGGAACATTAAATGTGAATCTGACAAGAGCAAAGTTTGCTGCTGATATGCAAAGCAGCTCACTTGGTAATAAAAGTTAGTATGGAGTTTGCTAAACAGGGTTGGCAATGATTAAATCAAAATGATTAAATCATGTGATTAAATCACTTGATTTTTTTTATAAAAAAAATCATGATTTTTTTTATTTTTTTTTTATTTATTTGATTTTTTCATATATATAAAAATATTGAGTGGCAATCTTTAATTTATATTGAGGTATTGTTATTCATGGTTTAGTATAAATGTACTATGAATGACAAATTGGTATATAAACTTGTTGCCTTTAGTGTGTGTTAGGTTCCAATAAATGGAATGTTTTTGGTACAGAGGCATCAAGAGTGCATTACATTGTACGTAGCTAGCAGCCTATCTAATTCTTGTAAGGCTATAAGTAGTCTAACTATTTAACTATTTGTTATATATTGATTACAATATACAATTTAAATGTGTTAGCTAGCTTATACAGGGTGGGGCAGAACTAATAGAACAGTTTTGAGGCAAAATAAAAGAGTAATGGAGGTACATGAAGAAGAAAGTTTATTTTCCTCATGATTAGCATAACATACCATTTAAAATACTTATGTTTTGAAAACAATATCAGGAAGATGGGGTTTTTTGCTGCATCACACTGTTGGAGTTGTTCTCGGAAGTTTCCTACAGCATGTTCACACATATGGCAAGGTATGGCCATAACCTCTGCTGCAATAATCTGTTCCCTTAGCTGTGGTAGGGTGTGAGGGCGACTTCTGAACACCTTTCTTTTAGATGTCCCCAAAGAAAGAAATCGCAAATGCTCAAATCAGGTTACCATGCAGGCCACTGTAAATCACCCCTCAGAGACACCAGACCTACGGGAAACAATGCGTTTCAAAACATTGAGTGACATTCAAGCTGTGTGAGCTGTAGCCCCATCCTGCTGGAACCACACGTCTCTCAATGCCTCATTTTCAACAAGGTTTTCCATCATGGGCTGCAAAAAATTTTGCAACATTGCAGCATAGCAATCGGAATTCACTGTCATGGTTACTCCCTCCTCTGAGAACGACTCCAACAGTGTGTTGCAGCTAACAGCCCCATCTTCCAGATATTGTTTTCAAAACATAAGTATTCTTAATGGTATGTTATGCTAACCTCTAGGAAAATGAACTTTCTTCTTTATGTACCTCCATTACTCATTTATTTTACCTCAAAACTGCTCAATCGGTTCTGCTCCACCCTGTATATTGAGGGGTTGAGATTGTATTGACCTTTTAGGCAATTAGAAAGATTTTCCACCCTAATACAAGTATTCTAATTAAAATATTTAATTTCAATCTTTAAATATGTGAATTTAAAACTAGAAAAAAAAACAATTACAATTATAACACTATATATAAAATAATTAAATGCAGTGAATGGATATAAAATATTTGAATTGTGCACATGTTTATTTCAAACAGTGTTAGCTTTTCTCATAACTATATATAAAATAATTAAATGCAGTGAATGGATATAAAATATTTGAATTGTGCACATGTTTATTTCAAACAGTGTTAGCTTTTCTCATAACTTGAGTCTAGTTTCAAGTCATATGAGGTTTGTTTGGTTATCGTTCAGTTTATGTTTAGTATTGGTTTATTGGTTTGAATTAAATGGGAACAGTGCAGTCAGTCACTCAGTCACTACTAGTCGGTGTGTATAGAAGGTAGAGTCTGGTAGATTTATAGGACATAAAACTAGTAGATCTATTAATAGTGCTGTGCACTGTGCAATCAGCTACCTATCTGTTATGTGACTCTTCAATGTTTAGGAGATCTGCATTCCTGAAGTTTTTTTGTATATTGAAGCCAGTTAAATGGTCAATATTTAGTTCATTACCTTGCTCCATACAAACTTTACAAGGCTAATGAATAGATCGGGCTAATTGTTTACCCAAAAATCCCTAAGTGGTAAACACCACCTTGGCATGTTGGCCATTATTGGAGTCAATAAGTGCCCTTTTTAGCCATCCATTATGATCCATATACTGTTATTGTTAGTAGGCTAATTGCAACATAAAAAATAACACCTCAAAAAAGACAAAAAAGCTGAAAAAATAAAAAAAATAAAATAAATCAAAAAAATTGCCAACCCTGTTGCTAAATGACCTACCTAATTATTATAGATCAAAATGGCTAAAATGTTATTGATCAGACACCAAGAAAGCAAGAATAGATCTCAGTTGAAGAGTATCTTGAAAGACAAGGCTGTGAGATTTGTGGTTTATATGAAGCCTATTAGAAATGATGGATGATTTCCTGTCCACCCGATGCAATTAGGGTTAATTATGAAAGCCATTGGTTAAAATGTACCATTTTCACATAAGTCGAGGGCTATAGAAATAGTAAAAATTTTCCACAAGCATGGTAATTTTTTCTTTTTCATGGTTGGCTTCTTCCTAATTTTCCTGCTTGAAATTTGGCACCATTATGGGTGGTTTCTGATAGTATTGGGGGAAATGTGTTGCTGTGCTTGCTATCAAGTGTAGAAAACATCTACTCTTTGAGCTGTGACTGAATTTTTCAAGCAAGCACTAGGCATGCCTGGCGGTAAACTTTGGCCTTTTAGCTTGAGGTGTTGGTGTATTTTCGAGCTCTCCATCAGTCATCTTGAACTTAATTTGGCATCCATGACCAATCATAAACTATTAATCAATTTTTGTGATGCAAACTTATTTGCCCAGTCATGTACGTACACATATTACCGTATACCAAATCATAATTTCACCCTAGAAGTGCAAAAATTATCATTTTTTTCACTACAGAGGGAATCCAGTTTTGTATTGCTTTCTTGCCCTTTTTTAGGTTGCAAGGTTTTGTGAGAAATCGTAAAATTTTCATTTTCTCAGTTCACATGGTGCTCTATCTGTCTCATCTATTTATCTCTTCAATACCTATGTTTGCACTTTAAATCTTGTTAGAAAAATTCTAATTTTATTCAATCAGTACAAAATCTGCTTTCAAGTTTTTCAATTTGATATAATTTGTCTAAGATTTTTCTAAATTGAATGATCTAAGCTAGGTATTCATTTTTCAAAGCTTAGAGTAATGCTATATAGTAATAAAGGAATTTCACTTGCAATGAAGGAAATTATTAATTTTTTGAGCGAGTGTTCTGTAAGTGTTTTCTTCATTCTATTACAGTGTTAAACATATCTATATGATGTTGATATGGTTGATGGTTGTTTAATCATACAATGTTTGTTCTATTATAGGGGCTTCCAGTTGCAATGGCAGACACAGATATTTTTACCATCGGTTCAACTGTAACCGTCACAACAGCTGTGCAGGAGGAAATCACTGGGGAAGTTATGGCTTTTGATCAGAAAGCAAGATTATTGGTATTAAGTAAGTCCTTTGATTCTATTTTTTTCACAGTTAACAGTATTATTGCTGGTTGTCACTGCCTGCAGTCAATGTATATTTCACAGCAAATTATTAGCTCCTAATTGTATATTAACCAAAACTGCATTTGAAATCATCCATTCTCATGTTATTTCCATTCTTGACAATAGGGCAATACTGATACATATACATTTTCTGCATATTTAACATAAGATGCATGTTTGTCTTGATGTTTTCAAACATGAGCTCATCATTTAATTCAAACATTTAAGCTTCCTTACAAATTCATGCCAGGTTTTTTAGCAAAGTTGTTGTTTCACTTTTGTGCATATCATCTTTTCCATCACCGTTTTTGTCTGTCAAGTTGTCATAGATATTTCTTCGTCTAATGGATTGTGATGCATGTATATATTAAAAGCAACAATAGTATTTTAGTATTTTATATAATTCAGGTTATGATCTTTGTTGATTATATGAAATATATATTTTTCAGAAAAGCCTGCGAGCAACAGTAAGACAACCACATGCAACATCCACACAATCTACATGAATAAAGTGAAGAGCATCCACATAGCAGATGAGCCAGAGAGCTCCACAACTCCTCCCCCCCTACCCGAGATTTCTATATCTGTTGTGAGTGCTTTACTTCAAATAATTGTTTGTATGACTTTATTGATTTTCTCCTAAGTTCTCCTAAGGCTTTATTGATTTTTTCCAGAAGTTATCCTAACCTGATGACTCACATTTGGTTGTTTATTTGTACATTATGTGCACTCGTATCATTCTCATAGGTATCAGCCATCAGAGAAGAAACTTTCTATGTGAGATAAGACAAGTAAAATTTAGTCGTTTTTGATAACAGTTTATTTGGTTATGAGGTATTGATTATTTGCCTCTAAATTATTTGTAAATTATGATAGTTTTAGTTAATTGCAAACTTATCAGGCTCAATTGGTTAGACAATATTACATTTCATCGATACATTCTGGAATGTTTATTAATGTTAATGTGATGACTTACTACCTTGAGCTATACAGAAAAAAAATAATATAATTAATAACTGGATTCGAACTTGGCATCTGAGATGAAGTATTAAATATGTCAAAGTCAGCTCTTATATTCACAATTTGAAGTTTAAGCAAACTTCTGATATATCATAAATATTTCAGTTCGTCAAAACTGAAGTGAAAGCCAAATTGCACATTTCTTTACTGTGCAACCATGTTTCATTTTTATTTTAATAAAAGTATTTTTATTTAATTGTATTTATTCTATTAGAAGTGATCTCAATGGAATTGAATTACAGTTGCGTAAGCGTCTGGACAAAGCAGTTCAAGAACGGAAGAGAATCAATGCTTCAATGAACTGCAAAGCCCCCAAAGATGGACAGCAGCTCTACCTTAGTATAGCCAAGTGGTAAGCTATTTTAATCATGAAACTCACAAAGAATTAATATTTTTTTTGTAATTGTGCAATTGTTGCAGAAGCGTTGTTGCAATTAGTTCTAATACAAGCATGGCTCTTCCTATGCTCTTCAGCAATTCTTGAATATATCCAGTCGAAATTACTGCTTCTGATAACAAACTTTCCGATGTTCCAAAGACTTGATTTCAGATCTTAGCGCCATGGAAAGTAACAGTTTTCAGAATTATAAACTATCATAACGCAACTATTTAATGCAAATGTGATGTTTTCAGTTTTAATGACACGCGGTGGAACGACAATGCGGACATAGTGGTAGAGGAGGGCGTGTTTATTAACCCCCCATACACTGCTGCCTGCGTGCACGCCATTGACCCCTCCAACCCACAATCCCCTAGATTTGTAGAACTCATCCAGAAAATGGTAAGCTTTTTTTTCTGATTGGTCATGTTTGGTTAAAAATAATGCCAGTTTTATTGAGAACTTCTTGTGAGTTTAATTTCTCAATCTTTCTAATAAAAGGTACAGTAATAGGGTCAACAAGTCTTAAAATTAATTCTTCTTATTAGTTGACTAAAGGAACGCAGTCCTATTGCCCGTTTTCTTAAGGGTGCAATTTCTTGTTCAATCAGAGTAAACATTTGTCATCACGAAATGTGAGGGTTCCTGTTCATTTTATGTCAGAATTAAACGATGGATATTCTCATATATTCTCATTTTTAATCTATTTTTAGATTATTGAATGCGATTCATATATAGGTAACTGAACATCACTTCTGTTCAGGTCAACAGATACCACAAAGAAAAGGAAAGACAACCTGAGCCCAGTACTGCAGATTTGTCAAAGGCACCGCCGCCTATCATTGAATCTGCCAGTGTGAGTGACTTGACTCTACTGTAGAAATTTCAGCTTCTGGCATTCAGTTCTTTGAGTTATAAGTTATAGTTTAATATTTCAGTTATAAGGTGTTTGCACAATTATTATTATGCATTTATTTGAACTTGAAGCAGAAAACGTACAAGCCACAAGGTGTCTGTGTTTAATGTGACCTGTGGTATGTTACTGCAATAGTATAAAATTTGTGTGCTTTAGGTCTAATAGTAAATAGAATGACTTCTGATGAATTTGGGTATTGCTCTTCCGTAATAACTGTAAATTCAGTTTATTATTGATTTTAACTATAATTTTTCTAATTCTATGCAGCTCTACGCTGGAGATCTTACTATTTTTGCTAGTAATTTTTACAATTTGTTATTGTCTTTGTATGATTTCATTCCCTATTAACCAAAATTTTTTCTCATCTTTGTTTATAATCTTGAACTAATTGCAATAATGTTATTCTATACTAAATTTATATGCTGGTAATCAATATTTTTCGTGCAACGATTTCCATAATAATGAAGTTCGGCTGAATTCTATTTGAGTCTGTGTGGCAATTTTAGTAAGATGTGTAAATGTCCGTCCTGATTTTAATATATTTTTTGTTTCCACAGGAAGCCTCAGCTCAACGTTAACATATGCTTAGGCATAAAGAAACTCCGTGTGCTTGTTGACGCCCGTCTTTTGTACGCTGTCTGATTCCAACATCTGTGTTCGCATTTAGGGCTGCAGCTTGATTACCTGGGCTCCTTGATTTTTATATATTTTTCTTGGTAGGTCAAATAGCTGTGACTAACACTCTAGTCGCGTGCTCGTCTTTTATGTTGATTGAAAATCACAGTAAAATAGGTATTAATTGCAAGCCCATGGTTGTTGAGCAAGCCATTCCTGCAATGAAATTGGACCAAAACAACACGTTGTCTTCAGTTCCCCTGACGTGTTCTTAGCATAACCATAAATTGACTTATTTTTAAATCGTTGTGGTTGCGTTTACCATTTCATTGTGAATATTCGTAATTTGCTACATGTAATTCATTGCCATGTTTCACTGATTTTTCATAAAGTAACTACACAATTTATGTATGAATGTATACAAATAAGCTTGCTTCTTCTTTGTTCCGTAAGGAACGCACTGCAACCCAGTGCGCAACTGTGTAATGCAGTCTTGTAGTACAATGCTCATTTCCCTCAAATAATCTACTATTCGCAGCAGTTTCAGCACGCAATTTATTTCATTGACGAGACTTTGATTTCATGTAGGCAAGCGTAAAACCTAAGCCACGAATTGATCTTTTGTTGTCGTGGTATTTTCTTTTACTTCGTACGGTTTTTGGCTTGAATCTCATTTGGGGTAAGAATCGTTCGTTCTTCCTTATGCAAAATTTGAAACGGTTTAATCCTATTTAAATAAGATATTCTTCATTGGTGGTTGGCATGGTTAATTAGTGTTAATTTCTTAGTTTATGAAAGTTAGTATCGTAACAAACTTACAAAGTTTACCTTTCAAACCCAGGCAATATACCTAGGCCCCTCTCAGTAGCGTGTGGCTACGTAACGAATGTAATTTGTTTAGCATTAATGATCTCATTTTGTGATTTAGTTGGGAATGTAATTTTCCATATGTTTTTGTTCTAGCAACGACAAAAAATTCAAGTGGCTTGAATGTCCTAAAAAGCGCGAATAATCAGTTTCGGCCTTGATAACGCCGGTAGACCTGCCGCCTATTCTAAATACGCAGAACATTCACAGCTTGTTACGGTCTCGAGCATGCTACTCACTGCTCCAATTTTGCCATGCTTAACCACCCTTCCTCCTTGCCTATTCTGATCAGAACTTTCGCATTAATCTGGGATCGAACCCGCACCTCTCTGCCGCAATCCTGATACTCCGAACTGTCCCCACTGGGCCACCCTGCATAGGTTTGCAGGAACTTGAGCTGCGAGAGTTTTTGCGCTACACGATCCGGCTTTTTCAACAATTTTTGTTACTCTAGAGCAATTGATATTAAGTATGTTATTTTGAAAAGCCCGTTCAAAACTATATTCTACGTGGGGCATTGAACGCCCATTCGACCATCGTTTAAGAAAGTGTAAACATTATTTTACACCATTGAAATTGAATTTTTAAGTCAGATTTTGCCTAATTCTCTCCCAGTTTTGCAATACTTTGCTATTCTCCCACTAAGAATAAATTTTCAGATCCAGGTAATGTCCCACACTATATGATGGGCTATTATGTATTTGCGGCGCCAAGCTGCAATCGAGTGCAAGTCTAGGCAAGTTACCAGACCTCATATTAGTTGTTATTTAGACATTTGGCATATCATAGTAAACGCATTCCAGATTGACTGTATACCAATGAACCCAGCCCACCTAGGAAGCTGGATATTTCATTAGTGTGGTTGCGAAGGACCTTATCTCCTTCCCTAAAGAGCGAGGAGACGGCATTGCCCCAAGATTTGGGCGCCACCGTCTCAATTGTGCGTCTACGTAGATCTGTCAAGATGTATCCTTATTTTTTATTTGCCACTGAATATATAGTATTAATATGAATTTCGTGTTGGGCTCTTCCCAAGTGGACACAATTCATTTACTGGAATAAAAATTTGACGTTATTTCTAAGCCGTTACTTCAACGAAGCGTGAATAAATAACCGTTTTCAAATGGAGATATTATTAATACGAATTTTTTACAATAGAGATATTACTGATACGAATTTTCTTCGCTTTCGGTATTCACAAATAATGCAACGGATGTATACATAATCAACATGGATAATTTCAGGCTTGAAAGGCAAGTCCTATGAAGAAAGATTAAAGATTATGAAGCTCCCAAGCCTCTGTTGTCGATGTCTGCGTGGGGAGCTCACTGAAGTATACAAGTATTCGCATGGCTTATATATACAAGGTCCCAGAATGATTACTAGAAATTGAAACACGAACCAACACTAGGAGCCATGGCTATAAATTGAAAAATATAACTCAGAACTCACTGCAGTGAGTGACAGAGCCCTTTTTCTCATCGACGAAAACGTGGTCACGGACGGACGGACATGACGAGCACAATAGCGTTTTTTTCCATAAATGAGAAAATGCGCTAAAAATTGCGCTGCAACTCATCCACGCGACAACATTTCTTCTCGCTTCGAATCACCGTCATGTGGAACATCCTTTCCGATGGAGACTGGAGAGGCAGTTTGCGTTGGAAGCGAAAGCACGTGTTTGAAGAGCGTTTCGGGAAATAACCAGTTAATTTTGCAATTTAAGTCCTTACATCACTTAAAGTTATAAAATCTTTGTGTATTCCATCATAAATTAATTTTATTTTCTTTAGAAAAACCCAACTGGATTAAGTGGCTTTCTCCCACAAGGGTTTTCCTTTTTTTTGTGTAGGTAGGGGTAGCCTATTTATTTACCGGTACTATTTTTATTTATTTTATTTATTTATTTATTTATTATTATTATTTTTCTAATATTCATTTCTAAATCTTTTTATTTATCTTATTTCTTTTTCCTCTCTTTTCATTGTTGTTATACTTATTGCATTTAAAAGTGCTACCTCTAGCCTAGAGGCCCCACCGGGCCACCGATGGGTCACATCGCAGGTGTTGTGCATAGCAGCAAAGGAGCCGTTGCAGGAAACGTGTTAAAAATGAACTGATTCTAAAAAAGCTCTGGTTTGCCACTATGGTCAATTGGTCATCAGTGTCATGCCACTTTCTTTGGGTGTTTGGGGTGCTCAGGGGCAATTTTTTTAGCAAAGTTAAATGCTTCCGCATCCTCACCATCATTGGCTAAGCCAATGATATCACCTTCAGCTTTACGTACACGCTTCTTGGCTCTTGCAGCCTGCAACTGTCACTTCACGGTCTTCACGGCAGTGGTTCCCAGTCTTCTTTCCATTGTTGCGATGTGACCCACCGGTGGGTCCCACTTTAATTTTTCCTTTTATAATTTGCAAAAAAATATAAGTCTATATTGACTACGCGTTATATATGTGTCCTAGTATTACTATATTAGGTTAAATTAAAGAAAGACATGTAAGAACAAAGGTTTACCATTTATTGAACTTTTAATTCATGCCATGGTCAGGAAGGTGCAGCGTGTATGCCGGAGGTTCGTTTTCGGATGTACGCCAGTACGCCAGGAAAGAAAGTTGCCAATATGCTTGCTAAAAACGGAAGTGTAACCCTCACCAATGCTGCATGATCGACACAGGCACATGTACTTTACGATTGATGCCTGGTGATCGTCACAAACACACGTGCTTTACGATCTATATAGCCGATGCCCAATGATCAATACTGAATTGCGCGCTCTTTACGATCAAAGTGGAAGATGCCTAATGATCGACACAAGCGCGCGCGATTTACGATCGGTTTAGCCGATGCCCAATGATCAATGCTTATGCACGCTCTTTGCAATCAAAGTGGAAGATGCCT